GTGTGTGTGTGTGTGTGCGCGCGCGTGCGTGTGCGTGCATGTGTGTGTGTGCTGCCAGGTCCCCAGGGATAAGACAAGCCTAGTCACACCTGTGTCCTCAACAGAGGCAGGTGGTGAGTGGGGCGTGGAAGGAAAGCTCCTTAGAGAACACGTTCCCTCAGAGTGATCTCCCTTAGTCGCTTGAAAGTTCGAACCCGGCATAACGAGCAATTAGCGCAGATGACTCTGGAGCACGGGCAGGACATAAAGCATCGCATAGACATTAAACTGCAGCAAAGAAGCCACGGCATGAACGTTTTTAGGGGAAGAAAAGAGCTTCAATTACCTCCTTAGTGAGGGAACATAAAGGAAATTTATAGTAACAAATTTGCATGTAAGATGGAGATTTACTGTAAAGATAAATCAATTATGCTCCGGAAGGTCTTGCTGCTTCTAAATTATGAAGTTATGGAGACAAGCTACAACGTGTGCAGGAACTGTACAGGAAGTTAAGCCTTACGGCGTCTTGGAGTAGGGGCACGGTGTGAATGGGAAGTGGCTATCCACACCTGAAATGAGGCTGCCATAGAGCAATTGTGGATAACTGTGGGTGACGTGGTGTGGATTTACCTCTACAGTTTTAGTTCCTTTTCCCCCCGTTCTGTCTTCTTCGGGTTCTTTGGCTTGCTCTCCCTTTTCTTCCTTCTTCTCTTCTTCCTCTGGTCTTTTGGTCACATCTATTGACACCAGGCTTTGATCCTCTTCCACCCAGTCATGAGCTTTCTTCATGGCCTGCAAAGGCCCCAAACAAACAAGACATTTGCCATGGGAATGGGGAAACCAAGTCATGTCAAGCCGGACCCTCCGGGGTGGATGTGTGGGGCCGTTTCTTCAGGGCCTTAGATGGCAACCTCGTTGTTTGTAGAAACTATAGGCGAGGGAAAGAGGGTGGAAGGGAAAGTGCACAGAGCATGTTGAAGGGCTCCAGAAGTTTAGAAGGGCCATTTAAAAGATAATTAATTTATTCTTATTGTATGTGCATTGGTGTCTTGCCTGCAAGTATGTCTGTGTGAGGGTTTCAGATCCTGGAGTTACAGACAGCAGTGAGCTGCCATGTGGGTGCTGGGAATTGAACCCGAGTCCTTTGGAAGAGCAGTCAGTGCTCTTAACCTCTGAGCCATCGCTCCAGATCCTAAAGAGAATCTTTTAAAATGATATTCAGATGAGAATAAAAATGACAGACAGACTGTACCACGTACGGTATGGCCTTCGTGTTTCATGGCCAGCGCAGAAGATGAGCTGCAGCTTTTCTGGTAGGCATTAGAAATTAGTAAAGGGTCGTGGCTACAGCAAATCTCCTCATGTAGCGGTTTTCCTAATCATCTCAGAGACCGATAATGTACGGTGATGGAAGGAAGAAGCATGGCTTTGCTCCTTCTGACTCAGGGCAGGCCCTCCAACCTCTACCAGGAGTGCAGCATAAACAACCCGTGACCCACAAAATCGTGGCCAATTGGAAACTGCAGAAACCATCTCCCTGGTCCGGTTTGTGGCTTCCAGAATTCAGAGAGAGGTCAGCCTCACCCAGGGCTCATTGGATCCTTCATGCTGTTTGTTTAAGTAGACGCTGTCACTCATCTGACGCTGCACTACTCACCGTAAAGCCTATGCGTCCAAGCTTAACAGGTCAGAATGTTGGGGGGCGGGAATTTAAGAGCTAGGAGATTAGGGGAGAGGCATCCTAAAACGTCCTCTTTTTGGAATAAAGGCTGACCCACGCAACTGAGAAGTCCCCACGCTCCTCTCTGAGCAGTACCAGGTGCTGCAAGGAGACGAATGAGGCGATTTCCCAGTGTTCGAGTCCTCGAGCTGCCAGATCAGGGACCCCTGACAGAGAGAAAGAAATTGCTCATCTGCCACCTCTATGTCTCATTCTGCCCTTTCTTCATGCGTTGTAATAGGTGAGAGGCTATATAAACCTCTAAGGTAAGAGAAAGGGAGAGAAAAACCCATTATATAACTTTGAGTAAGTAATGTTCAGTGTCTTCATAGGAAACCCCAGAGCAAGACCCTGTACTAACTTGCAAAATGCACTGTGGTGTTAAAGGAAGCTGGACCGCGAAAGCTGGACCATCCTAAGACAGTTCTAGCAGCAGCAGCAGCAGCCCCGGTGGGAGGAGAGGTATGACTCTCAACTCTCAAAACTGGCCTGTCTCTTTAAGAGGCAGGGCAAAGAGTAGAGTCTGGAAAAGGCCCCTGGTGATTCCCCTCCACCTCACTTTGAAGATAACCGTCCTCTGACAGAAATTTCTATTTCACTGTGAGAGATTAACTGACTTTTTCAAGGTCACAGATAATCACTAGTAAAATTACAGAAGGCAGGTCCCAGAATTCCTGCAGACATCACGCTGCCCCTCAGATACTAATTACCGACCTCAGACTCCCCTCCCGCGGTGGTGCCAGAGGGGTTTGGTGTTTTTCTGTTTCTGCGGACTCTTACAACTGAGACCCTACCTCCCCAAGCCCCTTCAAAACCAAAGGCACAGAATGGGTTGTTTCTGACCTTATTGAGTTTGTCAGGTGTGGCGGCGACGTGTAATTCGAACAGGAGTTCGGTAAGCATGCTAGCAAATTCTTCGCCCTTTTCTTCTAGGCCTAGAAATAGAACACGACAGAAGTAAGGAGCGTGATTTATTTATTTTTCATCCTTCTGAATGTGGCAGCTCTCCTGACTTTGCAGCCTGTACCTGGGGTAGACTAAGGAGAGGCTGCGGCAGTGTGCCCTGGGGCTGCCTGGGAAGATGGATGTCATGTCTTCCACTGGTGAGCACAGCGGGGAAGCGGCAGGCCGCCTGGAGAGGGCTGCCAAGGCCTAGCTGCAGGCCTCTGGCACCAGGGCACCCCTAGACTGGCTCAGACACCACAGAGGGTAGGGAGAGGCCTTGCGCATTTTGGGACCACAGTTCTAGTGGCCCATAGCTAGTTGGTAAAAGAATAAGAGGACAGATAGATGTACGACCCATGTCAGTCAGGCCTGAGAGGCCTGCTGCCCAGAGTGTTGCTAGGCTTCAGGCTGTGACTCTGATGATGCCCAGGGTGCCCTGCTGAGGATGGGCCACAGGGCTGAGTGAGCAGAATTCTAAGCTGGGTGTGTACTCTGATGTAACATCCTCTCTCTGGAGAAATTTCCCATGGTTCCCTAGGATACCTAAGTGGCATTCTAATACTTTTTAATGATCTATTTTCTCAGACTGGAAGCTACCTAAGGACAGAGAGAAATTTAACTCATTCCTAACCCAGTGACTGGAACATAGTACATGGTAAAGAAAATATCACCTTGATGATACAGTATTTATCATATGTCTACAACACAATAATCACATGATATTTGTTATATAGTATAGTCATATATCATGAAATGAAAATAGATATTCCTGGTAGGAAAACTCAACAGAGAGCTTTAAAAGTTGCAGTGTCCTTCTCTCCTTTGTGACTTCAAGACAAAGCCATCTTAAACCTTCAGGCAGTGCTGAAGTACGGACTCCATTATGGGTTTATCAGCTCCCTTGGGAGGAGAATAAAAGTAATCTGGCCTGACGGTAGGTGTGCAAAGCCCTCTGAGAAGAATGCACCCAGGCTCACGCCAGAACCCAGGCGTACCTTTGGGGAAGGCTAAGTCCTGCGAGAAACACTGTACCTCACAACTTGCCTGGATACGTTAGTTTCAGCTTTATAGAAAAATGGTTCATGGGCAGCTCATAAAGATAGCCGGGGGGGGGGGGGCTGTGGGTTTGCTCAAAATGTTTATCGTTGATCTGTTTATTATGATCTATATTCTCACAAGGGAGACAGGTCAATAAACAAATGGATAAACAAAACATTTATGTCAAGTGGTGAATTTTATGGAGAAGTATAAACCATGGGAGAAGGCTAGGGGTGGCTATAACTTAGGAACTTTATTACAAAACTTTAAAATATTTATTTATTTATTGTTATGCGTATGAGTGCTTGCTTGCATATATGTATGTGTACCACATGCATTCCTGGTACCCATGGAGGTCAGTGGAGGTTGGAAGAGGATGTTGGATGGATGGCTGTGAGCTGAGCCCAGTTCCCAGACTATAGCAAGAGCTCTACTCTGAATGTTTGTGAGTCCCTAGAACTCGCGTTGACACCTCATCACCAGGGGTGATATTATGAGCAACCCGGGCTTTAGGTCATGAGCACCACGGCATTCTTGGGAATAGATGAGTGTCCTTTGAAAGAGTTCCCAGAGAACTGGTTGGCCTGTGCCCCCATGGAAGGACATAGCTAGAGGACCCCGCCTAAACACCAGATCTGCCAGCACCCGGATCTTAGAAATCTGTCTAAACCGTGAGAAAAAGTCCCTGCTGTTTATGAGGCTCACTGTGGTGCTTGCTGTGGGGGCCTGAACAGATAGGGGGAGGAAGGAAGGAGGGAAGGTAGCTATGAAGAACGGACGCACACTTAGAAGCTGGACCCTCCTTAAGCATTTCTGTTCTGATTTAGCATCAGTTCCCGCCAAATACATTTATTGTTTGTGTGTTCCTGTCAGTGTGGTACATAAGAACTCATTCACCCGAATTTTCCAGTTTTGCGAACAGTTCAACATTGTTGTGTTCGGTTCATATGGTAACTAAACAGGGAAAGCTGGAATTGGTGCAGCCACCACCTGACAGCCTCAGAGGTCAGGGGAGGCACAGCCTTGCAGCCTGGCAGTGGCAGGGAATGTGCCTGTCAAAGTTCAGGGGACACTAAGGAGGCCAGTGGTGAGGTGTGTGCCCTGGGGCTAGAGCCTCAGGATGAGGCAAGGAGGTGAAAACTCTTTAGCCAGGAAGGGAAGTGCTCCTCTGCACTGTGGTTCTCAGGGCAGGAGTGTGGATGCCTGAAGAGACCCCGTTAGCCAAGGAGCAGAGGTGGGAAGGGAGGGTGAGAAGGGGGAGGAAGGAGAGAGAGGAAGGAAGGGAGATTCCACAAGGCCTGTGTGAGGCCATGCTGCGCTGCAGGAGCCCTTGGCTGAGGCCTACACCTGGCTTCCACCCCAGCCCATACGTTAGCCTCTGGGGCAGGAAACCAGCCACCAGGCTGCCTTGGCTTACCACTTCCTGTCCCCCCTCCATGCCCCACACCCTGTTAGCTGGTGATAATCAAACTCACCCTTAGTTTTTTTCGTAAATTTTATTTTGTACTTTTGGAGAGTTACTCACGCTAAGCAAGCATCCTGCCACTGCATTACAGCAATCCCATCCTTCCCGCTTTAGTTACTATAAGAGCCAAACGCAACATTGTTGAGTTGTTTTGTAAAAGTGGGAAACTATGTAAAGGAACCGTCATGCACCACACTGACATGGACGCTCAAGGTTAAATACATTTGGTGGGAATCCACAGTAAATTAGAACACAAGTACTTCAGGCGGGTCCAGCTTTTGAATGTGCATCAATTCTACTAGACACATACCAGTAACTTTAAACATGTATTTCAGAAGGGAAAAAAAATCACTAGAAATAAATAGATAAAAGCAGATGAAAATAAATGTTGCCACAAAGACTATCACTGCTATTCTCGGCCTGTATACATGGCCAAGAGAACTTCCCCAAAGACAATAAAAACAGAAAATGGACTTTTAAATTCTCCTCACAGTCACGGTAAAGCAAATTAGAGATCCATGCCGTTTGATGAGCCTGCACTGTGCCGGAAAGACAGGCGTGTAAACGATGAGCCAGTGTTGTTTAGTGTGCAGGAGCCCAATATTAAATCTATCTAGAAGATGACAGTTTATTATTATACTTCCTGAGACTACCAAATAAATTTTTTAGTTGTTAGAGGCTTTTAGGAATATAAGTGCATTTATAAGAAAAAAATCACAACAACAACAACAACAAAAGGAACCTGGTGAAAATGCTTAGATTTCTGCCAGAATTTTGCTCTTGGAATTTTTTTTCACATTCCACTTGTAAGATTCCTTTCCCGTGTGTTTGGGTAACCCCTCCACCCTCCTGGATTTTGGGTAACCCCTCCACCCTCCTGGAGCTGTCACACGCCACAGGATGGGGTTGGTTCTACAACAACACCTCTGGTGTATCTCCCAGAGCCTCATTAAGAATCTGAATGACATTTATTTATTAAATTAAGTTAATGAAAATTAATAGTGTTTTGATCATCTGGAGATGCCCTTTGGGGAAAATGGATCTATTACAGGAGCTAATAGGCTTTTGTCATGGAAAGAGAGACAAATTTACCATCTCTCCACCTTCCAGCCCCCAATTTTCTCAAAATATGACATTTAGAGCACTTCGGTGTGTGTGCGTGCGCATGTGTGCATGTGCGTATTTGCGTGTCTGTGTGTGAAATCCAAAAACCTCAATTTACGGAATGAGGCTCTGTATTATGAGAACATACCACGTTGCCTGTGGCGACATTTTCTTTCAGCAGTACAGACTCAAGTCTCCTCTCTAAGGAGTGGCACCGACGAGAAGCGGTGTGGTTTCACTCTGTGTTAGCAATAACGTCTCTGATGTCAATGAGAACATGGAGCTGTGGGTGTGCATGTATGCGTGTGTTCATGTGTCCCCGTGTGGGTGTGGATGCATCCGTGGCTGTGGCTATGTGCATGCAGCATGCCTGGAGAGGCCGGAGGACAACATTGGTTCATTCCTCAGGGGTCAGTCCCATGTTGTTGGAGACCAGGTCTGTCCCTGGCCAGGAACTTCAGGGAAGAGGCAGAGGCCAGGCTAGCTGGCCCACAAGCTTGCTTCTGCTACCTCTTCCTGGCTGAGATTACAGGAGTATGTCACCCATTTTGGCTTTTGCTTGTTATATGGGTTCTGGGAATTGAAATGTAAGTTCTTACCCTTGAAAGGTTAGCACTCTGTTGGCTGAGCCCTCTCCCCAGCTCTGGGGCCCATTTTTAAAAATTCTTTCTGAATGTCACGCCAACAGGATCAAGATCTAACTCACGTATCATGAGCTTGAAGAAGAGCCTGACTGGGGTGATGGTTAGGGCTAGAAAGGGGCATCTATACTTTATTTTGGGTCATAAAACACTCGTGTTTGAGCTTTGATTAAAGGCATATAATACTGCATCTGGGAACAAAACATTTCCGTGACTTGATGGTGACAGCGTGAATGCGTATTGTCACCACTCTGCATGGTAGGGCATGACAGGTACAATGATGAATAAAAGCTGCAGCTTACTCTGACTCCCCAGTCTCCCTGGCATTGCATTGACACACTGCACAACAATAACACCAGCTAACATATTTGAGCAGCTCTGTATGCCAAGATCCGTAACGTATATTTTTATGTATGTCTTTACTCTGAGCTCCTAGACTAGGCAGCACTGTCTCCAGGATGTAGTAGAGATATATACTCTTTTCATCAGGGCCAGGGGACTTGTTCAAGAAATTACTGGAAAGGTTTCCAGTGGGATTTTCTATTGCTCCTAGAAGCAGCTAACCTTGAATCTGCGGTTGCTCTGACCATTGGCACAAACTCTAGGGAGCCCCTGTGGTATGGTGCCTATAACTGTCATATCTGTAGGAAGGCACTGTATACAGCAAATGCTTGACTCTATTCCTCACTGGATGACCAGTGTAGTAACTGGAAATAGCCAACGTTGAGATTCTCTTCTCTTCTTAAAAGAAGCCTCGCTTTTCTTACAAAGGTGCTGGATGCCTGTGGGTTCAGGTTACTTCTGAGGGATGTGGTAGAGTGATTGAGAATGGCCGCATAGGCTCATATATTTGAATGCTGGTTGGTGGACTGTTTAGGACGGATTAGGCAGTGTGGCCTTGTTGGAGGAGGTGTGTCCCTGGGAGGTGGCTTTGAGGTTTCAAAGGTCCTTGCTAGGCCCAGTCTCTCTCTTTCTCTCTTTCTCCCTCTCTCTCTCTCCTCAAGATGAGGATGTAAGTTTTTAGCTACTGCTCCAGCTCCATGCCTGTCTGCTTGCCTCCACCTTTGCCACCGTAGTGGTCATGGACCACTGTAATTCTGAAACTGTAATTCAATGCTTTATTTTGTAAACTGCCTTCATCATGTCTCTTCATGGCAATAGAAAAGCAACTAAGACAAGGGGGAAGGCTGTCGCAATGTGTATACCTTACTCACTCCGTGATCTTCAACTTGAAACACCTCATCCTGGGGCACTTGGAGAAATGGCACAACCACGGGCAGAACTGTACTTCTTGTGTGGTGCTGGGATCTGAACTCGGGCTCTCATACGGCTAGGCACTGTTGTGTTGCTAGGCTACCAGCCTCCTACACCAGAACTGTACTGTTCAGATCTCCAAGTCCCGTGTATTCACACAGGACACTTGTAAATGCACAACTCCTCCACACAGGGATAAAAGGGAATAACAAACTTATCAAGACTTATGCACCATGGTCATCAGTCGCAGCCACAACATCCACACGCAGAGTTAGAAGTGCAACGTCCACAGTAGCCATTTAAGCCCAGCCAACTGCGCTCTCGTCATTTGACTTTCTGCATTTACTGTGGGCTGGCGACGAGCCAGGAACCATGTAGAGAAAGGATGTGGCTCCTGCTCAGCAAAGAGAGGGCTATACTGTGACCAGCCCAGGTACTCACAACAGCTGCACAGGGCATTCAAGACGAACACTGGAATTAAGTAAACCCCACCCAGTTCAAAGGGCCATTTCTCAGCAACTGCGTCCCATGGGTTTATCTTGGTGTTTATGTCTCTTTACCTTGTTCTTCTGGACTTGCTTCACTCTCTGATTCTTTGGCTACAAAGATGTCTTTGATAGAAATTAGGTCATTTTTCAAGAGTTCTAGCTTCTCTCCATCCAGAGATGCTAAAAATGACTGAACCTGGAAGAAAAAAAATAGGTCATCTTAAGTGTCATCGTTTCTTGTGAACACAGACCAGGTTGGCCTCGAACTCACAGAGATCTACCCGCCTGTCTCCAGTTTTCCCAAGACAAGTGAGCGAACAGGTAAGGGAGAGTTGGCTCTGCGCCTGCCTGTTCACAGCATGGGCTCCCTGGGCCTCAGGCTTTTCATTCTTTTGCTATTCTTATTACAATTCAGTATATAGTCCAGACTTGCCTTGAACTGACTTTAAGGTCCAGGCCAGTCTTGAACTTGAGCTCCTCTTGCCTCAGTTTCTGAATTACTGTTATAGGAACAAGTTGCCACGCAGGACTAATTATCTCCTTCCTAAAGCAGGACCCGCACTTCCTTACGGTCCTTTGTGCGGTAAAGAACAAATATGAAGCAAAAATTACAGCGTCAGGAAGGCCGGTCAATGGGTGGGAACCATTTATCATAGTGGTTAAAACACACTTTGACCTCCAGACAGCTCAAATATCAGTTCCTCACTCACTAATTGCTGACCCTGTATAACTTATATTCCTATGCCTTGGCTCAATCCATGAAGTAGGGGCTGTGCATATCTATCTTACAAGGTCACCTTGATCATTAAAGCATAAGAACTGGCTTAAAATCAATGATGCTCAATAAATGACATATCAAACACACACACAGCCACATAGGTACTTATTAGACAAGACTTACCCTAAGTTTACAAAAATGCCCAAGACACTTTTTCCGTTTCTGGGAGCTAAGAGTCTAGAGCAGTTTCTCACACTGTGGGCCGCGTATCTGATATCCTGAATATCAGGTATTGACATTACGATTCATAACAGTCACAGAATTACAGTTAGGAATCAGCAGTGGAATAATAATATGGTTGGGGGCCAGCACAACCTGAGGAGCTGTATTAAAGGGTTACAGCGTCAGGAAGGCTGAGAACCACTGCCGTGGAGGAAGGAAGAAGCCCAAACCAATGGTTTCAGCCTGAATAGATGTGGGGGAAGGGCACAGCAGGGTCACTCTGCCTTAGGGGAGCTAAGGAGCTGGGCAGGCAGAGCTTGGGAGAGAACTGACCTCACCCCTGCTCCTCTTTGGAGTCTCTCTTCTGACAGTACCCTCTGTGCACACTTCAAAACAAGTACAGATGGCCAGCCATCCTCTGAAGACTAATTTGAATTTCCAGATTGGTCACAGGGCATGAAATATCATATTAGAAAATGAGGTAAGGCTGTAAGTTTTTATTTTTTTTCATTTTGCAAGTCAGATGCTGGAGGGAGCTCAGTCCTCCCTGGGTTAGGTTGCAGTGTTCATGGGGCAGTAGATCAACACACCAGGCTAAGAGTCAGGCAGGGCATCCAGCCTGACAGACTCCATTTTCCTGAGTGCTTAAGCACATCACTGGGTGCCTGCCCAAGGCTCTGGAGGACGCTTGGCAGGAAATCAACCCGAAGCCCATTAGCCGTGCAGTTCGGCAGGTAGCAGCAAATGCGCCCCGCTCTGTGGCTCCTGGCCAGTCCTTCTGGCCTTGGCCTTCTGAGAGCCTGCCTTTTACTAGGCTTCTGTTTCCCCATTGGGCCACAGTGATGTGCACTGAATTGTGGTCGGGTTCAAGAATAAATAATAAGTAATCATGCATTCTTCAATACTAAAGGAATGCTGACTGACTGCTTGGTACTAGGTAGAGTATTGTTCGGGTCACACGAGGGTACACAGGGTGTCCATGAAAAGAAAAAAAATGCAACCGAGTGTAACGGAAAGAAAATGATTCATTTTTCACACTTATTAGGTATCACACTGCCGGGTCTGGCTTAGAACCAATCTGATCCTATTTAATATTGTGTGTGTGTATGATGAAGGTGTGATATGTGTGTGCACAATGAAGGTGTGGTGTGTGTGTGTGTGTGCACAATGACGGTGTGGTGTGTGTGTGTGTGCACGATGACAGTGTATGTGTGCATGACGGTATGGTGTGTGTGTGCATGATGACGATGTGGTGTGGGTGCGCACGATGAAGGTGTGGTGTGTGTGTGCATGATGACTGTGTGTGTGCATGATGACGATGTGGTGTGGGTGCGCACGATGAAGGTGTGGTGTGTGTGTGTGCATGATGACTGTGTGTGTGCATGATGACGATGTGTGTGCATGACGACAGTGTGGTGTGGGTGTGCATGATGACTGTGTGTGTGCATGATGACTGTGTGTGTGCATGATGGTGTGGTGTGTGTGTGTGTGTGTACATGATGACGATGTGTGTGCATGGCGACGGTGTGGTGTGGGTGTGCATGGATTGTTATGTTGTTATGTGGGTGTTAAGGTCTGACCCCCAGTCCTCATGATTATGTAGTAGGCACTTTTAACCACTGAGCCCTCTCTCCAGCACCAATTCTTCCTGCCTTCCTTTTTCCTTGCTGTGCCTGAATCTCAGTCAATGAAATAACAGTGGACGCAATGAGCGTCCTTTCTTGTCCACAGCTTTCGAATGGGAGCGTCCTCTCTAATTCCTCGGGTTGACGGGACTCAGAAGACCATAAAGCACTAGAGAATGGTGCCATCCAATACTCCTTTTAGACTTGGACACAGGGGAGTCCACAGGACACCCGGGATGCTTCCTCTTCCAGAGCGGTCTCCAGGTTACTGAGAGGGTCTCTTTCCTGAGTTGTGTTGAGGCCAGTGTGAACCTGGGTGATGACTAGAGGCAGGTGCTTGAAGGGGAAGTGGGTGAAGCTGGAACAATGGTATCTCCCTTACCCGTACACAGCAGTTTGAGGCAAAAGACAGTTGGAGCCTTACACGTGTAAACATAGGCAACTTAGTTAAATTTGTGTTTCAGACACGCAATGATTATTTTCTTAGTATAAGTGTGTCTCGAATAATTTGTAGGATGTATTTATTGGGAGTTCGATTTTAGGGAGTCATCCTGTGAGGTTTTTTTCCTACTGTCTGTTTTCGAAGTGGTTGAGACTTGAACTCAGGACCCCGCATTTGCTAGGTAAGCCCTTTGCCTCCCTCCAAACTACAAAGGCCTGAAGCCCTTTTCTTATTCATTTTATTTCTCACATGTTTAGTGTGTGCGTGTGTGTGTGTCTGTGTGCGCACGCACGCGTGTACGCACGTGTAAAGAGCAGAGATTTTTCTCCCTCTGCCCTGTAGGTGCCAGGGATCAAACTCAGGTCACAGTCCTGGCAGCAAGTGCTTGCACCCCATGTGCCATCTTGCTGGCCCTTATTTTTAAGTTTAGATTGAATTTAAATAACTTCTTTTCAGTGCTAGGGACTGAACCCAGGACCCTGTGCATGATCTATCTGTGAGCTTTAGCCTCCATCATTTTTAAATTTCTTTTCATCCACTTTTAATCTGAGACAGAGTCTCCTTAGGTTGTCAAGGCTGGCCTTGAACTCACACTGTAACCCAGACAAGCCTCGAACTTGAAACCAATCTGCCTCAGGCTCCTCAATGGCTGGGATTCAGGCCCATGTCACATGCTTGTATCTATGGGGCACAGCGCGGTGACCTGACATGTGTGCACCCTGGGTGCATCATGCCAGTGAACGTATCTATGAAACACTGCCTCACGCCGTTGTTGTGGTGAGAACGTTTCAAGTTTATGCTTTCAGCAATTTTGAAATACGTGCATTTCCATCACCCTCAGTCACCGTGCTATAAATACATCTCTGGTAGCCACAGTGTGTCATTAGCTGTGCCTGAAGACCTCAATAAGGGCTTCTGCTTGTATTCCTGCTGGGGGCCTGTGTCCTTCAATCTAACCCCTGAGTCCAGGAAGTCGCCTGCTGACCAGGTTCTCCCTGCTGGTTTTCACATGGATTTGCAGGACTGCTTAAGACAGCAGCACTCAGAACTTTTTACAAGTTCTGCACTGCTCCCTGACTGTCACAGGAAGCTCCAGGCTGGGGGAAGAGAGCAAAGCTTGTGGAAACCATGCACAAAGGGAAGATATGATCCCCTCTGGGACTTTCCCCAAAGGCCCCTGAGTTGAAGGCTTGCTCCCTAGCTTGGAGTTACTGGAAGGTGGTAGAGCCTTTGCGGGTGGGGGCAGGGAGAGATGTTAAGTCACTGGAGACCTATCCTTGGACGGGGCTGTGAGGCCTCGGCCTCTTCCTCTCTTTTGCTTCCTGGGCCTGAGTGAGTGGGTTGTTCCACTCTCTTGTGCTGTCTCGCTGTATGGCCCAGAGCGAGGTGGCCAACTCCTCACGGATGGGACCTTATGACGTTCACACCTGTAATCTCAGCACTCGAGAGGCTGAGGCAGGAGGATTGTTTGAAGAACCCAAGGGCTGTTTTGCAACTGGGGTCCGTGATGGAACCAACCAGAATGCAACCTCTCCATTATTGTCAGGGTAGGGGTCAGCCTCCTCCTGTAATATTGTAAATAATAACAACAACAGATATTTAGAGCATCAGAGCGCATGTCAAATACAATGCCGTCAACACTGTGTTTACTCAAACCCGCGGGTGCGCTAGGCAGCAGCTGGCATTTACTGAGCACCTTATTTGTACCAGGCAAGCTGCTACGAGCTCTTTCGCAGGCTATCTCACGGAATCCCTTTTGGAATCCTGCGAAGCGGGTTTTCACCATCATCGTCATGTCGAGCAGATTGCAATAAGAGGGGTCCAGATTCCCACAGCCTCAAATTGATGCATAATCACATAAAGGCTGATTCCAGACTCAGCTTTCACGGGGAGAATTTTGTGCTTTGGTGGGAAATTGCATTTTTATTTTTACTGGATTATGAGATTCTGAATGCAGGGAGCAATTTTACCACCGTGCAAATTGTGGAAGGCTGATGGCAGTGCAAAGCAAAGCCGTTTCTCTGCAGACACGCAGCCGGATTTTAGGTGAGTTTTGCAGGCAGAGGCCAGTCTGCCCCCCTCCCCCCCGCCGGCTGGCAAGCTTGGGTCTATTTGCAACTATGGTTCAACATTCTTTCTCTGGTTTTCTCTACAGCTGGCCATAACACCTGCCTGTTTTCCTCACTTAATTAATGAACTAAATAAGATCTTTATTGGGTGCTTATTTTGTATCAGTATGAATCATGATTTTCATCGTTTTGTTTCATTTTTTTTTAAAAAATTATCCTTCAACAGTGTTTTTGCTTGCTCGCTTGCTTTTTTAAAATATTTTAATTTTTAAATTCTATTTGTGTGCACACACGGAGGCCAGAGGACAGCCTGCAGGTGCGAATCAGTTCTCCGCCCACCTTGGGCGTCCTGGAGATTGAACTCGGGTAGTCAGGCTTGGCAGCACGTGCCTGTGCCCGTGGAGCCATCCCACTAGCACAGTTGGCTTCTTTCCTGAGACAGAGTCTCACGTAGCCTAGCCTTGCCTCCAATCCATAGCGAATCGTCTTCCTGGGGTCACGTGGGAGACTATGAATGTATACTGTCTGTTTGGTGATCTAGGCTTCATAGGGTTCTCAGTGGGAGCATTTTCAAATAGGTCTTGGAGGGATGGCTTTGTCTTTTTTGACCCAGATATTCTGTTGGTGACCAAATAAGTAACACCGAACTCATGAGACAACACACACTCGAGGTCCACAGTCTAACAGACACACAAGCCATTCTGTCTTCACTGGGTGGAATAAAGGCACGGGCTGGTGAGGGCTCTCTGATCTGGGAATGAGATCGTCAAAAAGAGGGCCTGGCAGGCAAGTTTAAGAGCAGCCTTTTCTGCCCTGAGGAGGGGTAGTAAGGACTCTTGATTTGCTGAGCCTTCTGCGCTGGGTGGAGTAACAGGTAAGCACGTGACAGAGAGGAAACCATAAGCAGCTAGAGGGGACATCAAGATGGACAGCACGTGAGACCTCAGCATAAGTCACGAGGAGAGAAAACAAGTTGTTTTGCTATGGAAACGCATCACCCAATAAGGCTGCTCAAATGACTCATGTGGATGTACCTTGCTCTCACTCTCATTGGACAGAATTTCCAAGGCTTCCAGGTGTGACAAACCTTGATATTCATCAAAAAGCAACCCGTAGTGTGCAGTCCTCTCCACTGTGAGCTGCTGGGCCAGCCTCTGCTTCTCCTTCTCCTTGGCCTCTCTCAGCATCTGTGGAGACACAACGGTCATGCACTAGACAGCTCTTTCCACGCTGCCTTCCTGTGCAAGATACAGAGGTGGTGGGGAAGACAGACATTATCTGAAAAATCACCTTTATCACTTGGAATTTCTCAAAATGATTCTTTGTGAGTAGGTGGTAGTGGGTTCTCCCCTATGACCTCAGTAGCTCTTGGTGAGTGGTTTGGTTTCCAGTACTAGGTATAATTTCCCTATTGTTGAGAAGACATTGGGCCCAATTAGAAAGCTGTTGGTTACTGCCTAGGTATCTGTGCCACTATTACACCCTTCCCCATGCTGGTCATTGCTTTAGTTCATGGACATCAGAACTGGCTAGGACTATGGGTGGCTCTTGTTCCTTGGAGGCTTGCATGGTGCCTTCTGTTACCATAAAAAACTAGTCCTCAGGGAGGAGGTTTTCAGGTTCCCCATGAAGTCTCATCACCATGGCTACTGAAACAAGACATGAACAAAGACAACACCAATGGATATGCTAATGTGAACGGGGGAAGCTAGTGGGGCCTCAACCCTATGCAAAAATCTATAGGCAACTAAGGAGTGCTGAGAGAAATAGTCTTCCCCAGGGAAGGGCCCCCAAGTATGCCAAACCGAATGGTCAGCCTGAAAACATATACATATACAGACTAAGCAGGTTGTGTTTATATGCTTTGAAATTATACACACGCACACGTTACAGTAATTAAGGAAATACACACACACGTTAAGGGAATAGAGGCCACAAATTTGAGAGAGAGAGTAAGGGGCCCATGGAAAGGGTTGGGGGGAGGAAAGAAGGGGGGAAGACAATGTAGTTATATTTTATTTAAAATATACATTTATAAAAGAATGGTAAATAGATACACAATTGATACTGTTTACTAATGTTTACCTATTCTGTTTCAATTCTCCTCTGAGCCAAACAAAGCAAGCCTCCGAGCCTAGGAGTAAGAGCAAAAGGAAGCACACAGGGGCTTCCGCTGCTGCCCACTGAGGTCTTCTCAATCCCATGTTCTCAAGTGTCCACATTTTCTATATTGACAGTTTTCAGTGCACTGAACATATAAAGTGAGGAAATGACCGCTCCAAGGGATGGCTGAGGAGAAGGGGTTTACTGTAGATATGAGAGAGAACTGCCAGAGGCAGTGGACGAGTCCAGAGCCGGGAGAGGGAGTAACAGACAAACATGGCCGGCTGGTAGACTGAATGCAGCCATGACAGGTGAGAGACGGGGAGAGCGAGAGAGGAAGGAGAGAGAGAGAGAGAGAGAGAGAGAGAGAGAGAGAGAGAGAGAGCAAGAAAGAGAAAGCAAAGAGCAAAAAGAGCGTGGCAGAAACGGCAGAAATGGTGGGGTTATACAGGAATGAGAAGCTGGAGGAAGGGAAGCCCACAGGCTGAAGAAGTTTGGGGTTACAGGGTGGGGAGGTGGGGTGAGAAGAGCTGAGAGGAGCCACAGGTACTGAGTGTGCCTGGAGGCCAGCATGACCTTTGGTATGCCAACAGCACCACAGTTAGCCTGACACTGGGAAATGCCAATTCTTTGCTATCTTACTGAGAATTCTGTGCCCAGGCAGAATTCAAAACAGATAGAGGCTGGCCTGAGTTTCCTGTTACATTTTTAAAAAATTTCCATGGAGGAAGCATGAGGCATCTTCAATGAAAGTTAACAAATGATCCCCCGAATAGAAATCGGCTTATAGATGTTTGGGCGGAATTTCTGTTCACATTAATAACTTCTATCTTTTCTTCCTCAATTCCCTTCTTTTCTTCTTTCCTCTCCTCTCTCTTCACTTCTCTTCCTCTTCCCTCCTATTACCTACATTTGCAGTGTTGGGGATGGAACCCAGGCCTTGTGCATGCTAAGAAAGAGACACCCCCCAACCCCTCCAGTTATTTTGTTGTTTAAATACAAAGATGACAGAATGGAGTCTATCCATTATTAACAATATTCTGCACTTGCTTGCTTTGGTGCTAGGCATCTTTTATTTGATTTCTCATTAAGTTTACAAGGACATTAAGTTTATGGAGTCCTTTAATATCTGCAGAGAGCCCCATAAATACATGGGCCAAGGCCACAAGGTCACAGAGGGAAGATCATCCAGGAATAGAGGCTGGTGTTTATTATGTGCCAATAAAACAGGCAGCCTCATTTTCCTTTTGAGTTCTTAAGGTTGTTAGCCAAGAACTCGCTAGGCCGTGGAAGGAATTCTCTCTCCTGTCTCTCTTGAGAACTAAATTAGTAAGGTTCTGACGGTTAAGGTTTTCAAAATAACCCAGTGAAACCATCACTGGGAAGGTTTAACACTTGTAATAAAACTCAGCAGCTGCCCTGACCTCAGAGCACTAGAGGCTGGGATAGGGGTCGTCCTATTAGCTTTAGCTGATAATACTCAGAGGACCCATGCCTTCTCCAAGCTCCTTAAGCTGTGTGGAATCTGGCACACTTCCACCCAGTCTTCCCTTTGGTCCTCCTTCGCTGGAGCTCTGACATAAAGCTGCTCTGATGGTCCTCCCAGGCCCTATTGGTCCTCCTTCACTGGGGATCTGACAGGAACCTGCTCTGATGATCTTCCCAGGCCCCACGGGTCCTCCTTCGCTGGGCTCTGACGGGAACCTGCTCTGATGGTCCTCCCAGGCCTCCGAAGCTTCTGCCTGTTTTCTCTCAGATAGTAACTCCCTGAACATCTCAGCCCACCTCATGATCTACTCTGTGAGGAACAAGAGCGATCCACAGGCTGAAAGGCTTCCCTGTCTTAAGCCCTCCCTCCACCGCTCTCTTTTCACCAGAGAAGCCACAGTGAGCCCTTCTGAGCTCAGGTCAGTTCCTGTCACCCTCCTTCCCCCAGCTCACTGACAGCCCTGCAGGTGCTCTCCACGAGGCGCCAACCTCTGCAGCCATCGCCACCCTGCTCTTGCCTTTGACACCTCCCGTTGTGGCTCACTCTCTCAACTCTAGTGTCTTCGCTGGCCTTTGTGGGTGCTGAGCAGCACAGTTCCCTGCACGGTGCAGCCTTTTAAATGTAGCTAGCCTGCAGCTGTGACCAAAAAAATTATGGTAGTTTGGGAAAGGAACTCAGGCCCCCTCTTCATTTTACAACAAAAATAGCTAGAATTTGCCGGATTTTAGACTCAAGTTTTACTGCTCCAACATCATCATCATCTTACCTGGAACAGAAGTTGTACATGTATGTACACATGTGTGTCTTATCAGGTTCTGGGCTAGCTCATGTAACTGTCACAACATAGTTACTAGGAAGTATTGCTGTCACCTCGTCGCACAGGGGATAAACTGAGGCACAGAGCTGGAAAGCATGGGAAAATCTTCAACCGATTACTAAATAAATAACTATGCAAATGTGACTAATATGCTGCCTTTTGGTGTGAGAGAGAGAGAGCGAGAGAGAGAGAGTATGTGTGCACACATGTGCGCATGCACATATTTTCCATTTATATGCACAGCAACATGCATACTCATATCCAAATGCGTATTCATCACAATGTCTGTGTTTACTGACTGCGTGCACAAGGGACCATTAACAGTGCTTGCTCCCCATGGGGATTTCGGTGGAGTGTGTCAGAAACTTAGCTTTCTTGCTACTTTTTGTGCCACTTTAGTTTGAACACGTGCTTTGACTTTACCGGCTGAAAGGAGAAAAATCAATAGAGGATCTAGTCCAACCTGAGACAAGGAAACGGTTCTCTCCATCAGCGTCTTGGTGCGCTTAAACCCTGGGTCGCTTTCTGCGAGGACATTCATGGTTTTCTTTCCAATGAATTCCAGAGCATCCAGACCTCCGCTTAAGACGCTTTTGCCCTGCAAATGAGGAAACCACGGGAGATTAGATTTTCCTACAGCTTGCTGTTTTGCAGTGGCCCTCAGTTCCCACGTACCCGTCACTCTCTTCAAATATTAAAAATCAATAGAAAACAAGTTTTTCACACCATGAGATTGAACATCTACATAATTCCTGTTTTTATTTTTTCCTTCTCAAAAAAAGCATGTGTTGTATAATTGTGGTATTATTAAAAAATGGTGCTGGGGGGGGGACAGTACACGTTAGGGATTTGTGTCAGCAGCTCTGGGCGTATCAATAGATATGTATCCAAGACAAAAAACTAACAGATGACCCAATTGCCTTGTTCGTGTGAAAGAATTTTAGCATAAGTAACGGTATTATTTGGGATGGGTTATTAAAATGTCAAATACTCAGGCTGATTTAGATGATTTTTTAATCCAGGGCCCTGAAGCAGCAGCCCCTCAGGCTGTTTCAGATGGTTCTTGTGTGCTTTTGGAAACCGGCGAACACCAAATATAATTAGTACATTAATGAAGGAAGACAGCTTGCCTTCCGTGGACTTCCAGCTGTAGAAGTTATTCTGTTAGCCAGGTATCAGTCTGGAAAATCCCTTTGCCAGACACTGTCTTCCTCTTAGCGGAAATTAAAACAACCGAGGCACACACACTGCTCAAATGAACAGAACCACTTACTCCAAAGCCTCCGGACAGGATTGCGGCAAAACAACACGAATTAAACCTGCAAACACCTGTATTTTTCTCACCTTACATGAAAATGCCAGATTTTATTTTTATATCATCCACATAGGCTTTTCAATCACCATAATTACATTTCCATTCCCGGCATTTAGAATTTGTTTTCAAATCCGGGATCAGATCGGTACTTTTACTATGGAACAGATTTGTAAAGCAGACACTTTGAAGGATGCTAGGGGTTCAGTACAAAGTGCTCCCCACTGGCTCATGAACACCCTTAGTCCTCAGCTACCAGTGTTATTTGAGGAAGTTCTAGAAACTTCAGGAGGTGGAGCCTTATTGGAGGAAGTAGGCCAGTGTGTGTGGGTTGTGCCTTAAAGGTTATATTTGGGCTTCAATCCTTCCTCTTTCTCTGCATCCCGGCTGCCAGAAGGCCAAGAGCCCCCTGTGTTCTTACTCCCACTCCTGCAACGTTCTGTCTGTGGGGCCAAGCAGCCGTGGCCAAAACCTCTCAAACCACGGACAAAATAAACCTTCTTCCCTGTCTTATTTCTGCCAGGTGTTTTTGTACCAGCAACGATAAAATCAGCTAATACAGAGGACAGTGGCTCCTCAGCAGCTCGTACTTTCCCATGCTTTGCTCTACGTGGCCCCCAACAGCCTGCCACGACAGGTCGCAGAGAATAAAGTGAGAACAGGAAGCATAGGCGCATTGCTGGACAAGGGCAAGCTTGCAGATGGGGTGGGGTCTGTGGGAAGCAGTGCAGGTTCAGGAGGACACGGGAAGGGAGCTGAGGATGTGGATGGTGCACTCAAGAGTGGATCGATTGCTCAGGATTGGCAAGATGGCTCCGTCGGTAAAGGCAGTTGTACTGTGAGAACCCGATGACTGAGTTCCATACCCAGAAGCCACATAAAGCAGAAGGAGAGAACTAACTCCACAAAGCTCTTCTCTCATGGTCATAAGAGCATCACGGTACAGGTGCCCCTCCCCCATCAGATGCATACACAATAATAAATTTAATTTAAAAAAGGGGGGGGGGGTGATGACAAGCCATGAGTTCATGTTTTTAGGCCAGAGTTACAAATTGAGCTTCCTCCACTCCCATGGGCACCCTTGAACGGCTCTGCCGCAGGACTCCCAAACATTCTTGATACGCCTCCTTCTTCCTGCCCAGCCTAGGGGTCTCGAGATGCAAGTACAGGACAGTCATTCTTTACTCCTGGCAGACCTTCCCTCTAACAACTGTGTGAGATAATGCCCCCTGCTCATCTACAATCCTCTTCTCTCCCATAGTGCATTGCACTCCACTGTTGAACTGACTTCATATGACACAATCTGGCGTCAGCTCTTGGCTCCTGGTGCGCACGGAGGACAATCACCTCTCTTCAAAGTCACAAACAGATAAGTGATTAAAAAGGACACGAGCCAAATTTTAGAAAATCTAGTTAGTTTGTTCTAGATCGTAGAGTGAGTCTTTTCTTCCTGGCCCTGAGGACCAGCTAGCTCCCCCATCTCACTTGGGGTGCCTCGGCCTCCTTTCAACACTATCAGTGTTTTGTTGCTGATAGGAGAGCAAGTTTCCTTCAGGAGTGAGAATGGTTATGTATCCGTCTTTTTAAAAATCAAAATAAGTAAAGATGAATAAATAAACAGGAAGGGCAGGGCTTGCAGGGATGCATTAGGGTTCTGCAAGGAAGGGCAGAGTAGGGGCTGCAGGGGTATGGCAGGGCGGGTCTCTGGGCTATTCCTCCTGACTTGTTACGAGTTCTTTGTATGGAGATGATTTTATAATTTTAAGAAAACTGAGACACGATCCAGGAAGAACAGCTGTCCCGGCTCTGAGTTCCTCTCCCCCCACCCAGATGTTGTCCTTGCAGCTGCTGGGAAGGACACTGTTAAATCAGATTGGGGGGAAAATGTCTCTTCTAAATCCCTCTCTTCTCTCAAACACGGGCTGTATTTCATCTTGCCCTTATTATTTCAGATCCAAGGTTATACCTACTCTGTAGCAAAACAGCATAACAAACTGTAATCCAAAGTCATGAGCAAGGCTGCCTTCTCTCTGATGTATCTGGGTCACGAGATGGAGAGATCAAAAGAAATGAGCCACTAGGGAAAACAGGACCGGCTCGGGACTCACAGTGTTTTGAACCGCGTTGGTGAGGGCTGACAGCATGCCCCTCGACCCTGCTGCCCCTGGCGGAGGAGAAGTGGGGGGGCCTCCGGCAGGGTCCTGATCTGGAGTCACATCTGTCACAGCAAGAGAGAAGACCCCTGTTAGAATCTGTTTTGCTGATCTGAACTTGGGCTCTTTTTCCCCCCACTGTGCAGTTGTGCACACAGCATAATAAAAATCCCCTGAACACTAGGCGAACGCCACTCACTTTCAGAGAGTCCGTTGTCGGCATCAGTTGGGACCCCTTCAGGAGGCCTGGAATTGGCACTGTGGATTCGTAGGGTTGCCCCAGCCTTTTCTTTGACTGCTGTTAATCCATGACCTGTAGGGAAATAAATATATAGTTCACAGATACATTAGAAGCCCACACAGTCTATAACCTCCGGGCTGATCTCACAAAACCACACAAACCCCTCTGGCCTTGGGGGTGTCCACCCTGAATAAAACAAAGTACTCAGCAGCAGGGCTAGATTCCTCGGGTTAGGGCCCAAAGATGAACTCAGCTCGGTCAAGGCTGAGGGACCATAAAGAAGCCAACCCTCCTTTTGTGACTCCGTTTCCTTACTATGTATCCAGACCCATATGCCTTCTGCCTCTCACACGGCTGTCTTTCACACTGAGATTCCAAATTCAAGCCAGCGTTTTTGAATGGCATGGCTGTCTCATCTTTCTCACGCTTCTCTAAGTGTCTTATGACTGAGACGCCATTCGTTTTCGTTGTTGCTTGTTTTTTGAGGTCCTAGCACGTCGCAGGTGCTCAGTTAACCCTGGCTGAATTGAAGTCAGATGAGCTTCAATACATTTCTATGTGTGAACCTATGATCACGCCTATGATCCCAACACTCAGGAGACTGAGGCAGAAGGATGCAAATTTGAGCTTAGCCTGGTCTACATAGCATTATAGGTCAGTGTGAGCTACCTAGCAAGCTCCTGTCTCAAAGCAAAACAAAACAAAATAAAACCCCCAAATCAAAACAAACAAACAAAACCCACTGCATTTTCTTAAAAGTACACCATGCAGAATCTTGGACTGACCTGAAGGCTCTAAATTAAAAAGGTCAGTCAGTGGGAAAAATAGGACGCAAACAGTACAAACCAGACTGAAGGTCACTGGTTTTACTCCACTGGGCAGGTAACACCTGTATTTCCAAGAAGGGGCGGTCCTTTATTTCCAAGCCACTGACTTACTAAGTCCTTGATGAATACAGAGCAGACCTTCTCCTCCACCGAGCAAAAATCAACCCTTGACTCGGTAGAAAAGAGTCTTTTCCCCATTTCATCCAAAGACAACCTGACATCCTCCACTAAGATGAACCATGGCCTTTCTGTATTTCCAGACAGGATGAAACAACCAAAACATGTGTGATCCTCATGGCTATCTGAGTTCTAGAAGGAAAAGCGGCTTGTGCTATCTCCATTTGGGTGCCTGCCACCTGCCTTGGCATGCAAGAAGAAAGGAAGGATGTCTCCAGGGACCTTGGGTTTCAAACACAAGGCAGTGGTAAGCATAAAACCTAGAGGCAAAGTGCCAAATCAGAGCTAAGCAGAATCAGAATCACAAAGCATCATCCAAATGACTGTTCACCCATCTCCAGAGTTGAGGAAGACACAGATGAATCCGAAGAGTAGTATTCTGTACCTGATGTCAATGCTTACAACCCATATAAAAATCTGGAGGTGGAGGCATGAGTTTGTAGTCTCAGAACTAGGCAGGCAGAGAGAGACAGGTGGATCCCTGGGGCTTGATGGCCAGACATTCTGATTGAATCCGTAAGTTGCAGGCCAAGTGAACCATGCTGTCCCCAAAGGCAAGGTGGACAGCATCCCGAGGAATGGCTTATGAGGCTAACTCTGGCTCCTGCACATACTCACACATGCACGCCCACACACGAACACATCCTGCACACAAAATGCTGTTTTATCAATTAGAACCTGATTTATCAGAGCAACCTCAACACAAGGCAATGGTATTTGTTGGTTCCGGTGAAAATCATTTGTCTTCATGGATTACCTACGACCCCTGAAAACCTAGGAAACATGATTTACAACCTTAATTATAATAGAAATATGTGCCTACACTCATGCAGATAATTAAACACAGCTCAAACTCATTACTGAGTTACTTGCAAAAAACAAACTGCAAAGCCCACGACTTAATTATAAGCTTTCAATCTGGCTTGAATTAATTCTTTCTTGCTTCCAATGAATTCCAAACATTTCAATAGAATTTCATCAAAATTTCAGCAAACATTTAAGGCATTGACTTCAGATTATTTAAGGTCTTTTTCTTAAAAAAAAAAAAAAAAACCAAGACAAATAACAACAACAACGACAAGACTGCACAGGCAAATCTCCAGCCAGGATACATAGCTATAAGATCTCTGAGAGCACCAATCAGAGTAAGTGAGCTTTGGGGGCTGGGAGTGGGGCACTGCCTGCTCTGGGAGCTCAGGAAGCCTTACATTATCATCACCCTTTGATTTTCTGCATCCCTGGCAGGTTAGGATTGTGTCTGTTTCTCTGTAGGGAAGAACAGCCTCTCCTCATCTCAGAGCACAAAGGACTATCAGTTTGTAGTTCCAGCACTTGGAAGGCAGAGGTAGGAGGATCAGGAGTTCAAGACCAGCCTCCGCGATCTAACAAGTTCAAGGCCTACCTGGGTTACCGGAGACACTGCTCAAACAACGTAAACCGACAAAAGAGGGAGAAAGCCTCACAAATGACCGCCCATAAGTGTGCATGAACTGTCTCTAGAACAACCCCTTTGTATTAGGACTGAAACAGCTTTTATGTGCAAGTAAGCAAGATGTATTTAGTTGAACAGAGATAACAAGAAGCTGCTGTTCTCTGATTAACAATTCTAATTGTTTGTATGTGAGTAAAAGAAAATATTTTCCGAATTCTACTAGAAATTCAAAGTTAAGTTTTATGTTTCCCCAAAAGCTGTAGTTTTTTTTTTTAAATAGGTAGAGATTGCCACACCCTATTTAGCCAAGTCACTTCTAAAGCTTGACTTAGTGTGACATCTAGTGCCCAGAAGAAGGAAATCATAGCAGAGCCACTGGCACTTGGATGACTCCATTTCTAGAGACAGTGGCTGGATTCTCTGGCAAGAGAAAGACAACATTGTATGCCACACTATTTAGCGTAGTTTGTGGATTAACTTCACGCTGCCACGGATCCTAACTATTCTAAAACACAGAAGGCCCCAGAATCCCAAGGCTTTGAGGCTGGGGCTGGGACTGAGGCTGGGTTTTTGTGCTGCAGTAGAAGGTGAGCACTGAAAGCAAAACAAACAACCAAAGCAAAACGAGAGAAACAACAAACTCAAATCAAAACACCACGACCGCAAGACCGGTGGAGGACAGCATCACTTAGAAGCACTCAGCGGTCAGCTGGTACTTGGGTCACCTGTACTGACTCTCTAAAGACAAGCAGCCTGCACCTAAGTCAACCTAGGAACTTCGGTTCCACCACTTCTCAGCTGTGTGATGTTAATTAAGTAATTCACCTCTTGGGTCCCTGCTGCTGTGCTTTCTCTGCCAGGAGAATTATAATATATACGTTCTAGAAGCTAAGAGGTGATGTTACATCCCTTTTGTGACCGAGAAAACGGATGGCTGTCAAGATGGCATCACCTGCTTCTGAGTTGATAGGTGGGAGCAGGATTCAAACCCAGTCCTATGACACCAGAACCAACATGTGTGCTCCCTACACACCGAGGAAGTTGTTTGTGCGAGTCATAACTAGTGCCATTTAACCTGGATTCTCTAACTCCTCATAAGTCAGAGCCTCGGTCAAGAGCTTTCTCCTCTAAAGCATTTTGATTTTGAATCTGATTTACTTCACTGTGACCTAGGGCAAGGTGAAGCTCACCTTCACAGGGCAACCTCACTCAGCTAACCTTGTCCCAGCCGTGCCTTGCAGGGCCAGGGCTTGCAGTGTGGAATCACCCGCGCTGTAAGACGTGGGGCTGTGGTTGACTTGGGGCCATGAGGTCTGGGGTGATACCACACACCAGTTTCTTTTCCTCCTGAAGTCCTCTCCTTGGTATAACAAGTAGTCGATGTAGTTTGTTTGCTCGTTTTTAGAAAAACATACAGTTGAGGCTGCCTTGCTCAACTAAAGCAAACTAAATGCAGCTTTATGCTCACATAAACCCCTACCCTAGGGTCAGGGTCAACACTAAGTGTTATTGAACTAACAACATTCACATTAAAGTTCACCAGAAATCCATCAGTCTTGTTTCTAATACAGAGATTGCAAAGCACTGTGGGAAATAGTAGCATCAATCCCATCACCCTTTTCATGGATGACCCTGTGATGGTTCTTCTCGGTTGCCAACTTGACTACACCTGGAATTAACTAAAATCCAAATGGTTGAGCAAACCTGTGAGGCACTTTTTTCCGTAACTAATCCTTTGAAGTTGGAAGACCCACTTCTAATCCAGATCCACCTTCTGTCTGGGCCATACCTGCTGGCTGCCTGTATAAAGGACTTGGCAGAAGGAAGCTAGCCCATCCCCTTACTGACATTAGAGCCTGCTTATTCGGGATTCAGAAGACCAGTTGAGACAACCTGCCTCGTGGACTGAATAACTACTGGATTCTTAGGCCTCCCACTGGTAGACAGCCATTGTTGGACTAGCTGGACCACAGTCTGTAAACCAAGCCACGCTAATAAGTTTCCATACATATTCATATTTATATTCACATCTATTCTATAAGTGAGCCCTGGCTGATACTGGGTTCTCTAACATTCCTAACCCTCAGGAATGTTTACATCATCAGCATCACTTCACAATAAATAAATAGATACATAAATAAAGACTCCCTTGCAGCTCATAGTCATTTGTACAGAGGGGAGTTTTCACAGAGGCACCGTGTGGATGAGTTTGCCATTCTTTGTAATAAACACTGATGCTATGTGGACAGGTGGAGGGGTCATCAGAATGGGAGAAACTGCAGCTAGGTCAAGGATGGGAACGAGAAGAACAGTGGTTCTGAAAAAGTAAATACCTTCGTACAACCCAGATGCATTCCACCACCCAACCGGAAATTCTCGCCTTGGATGTGCAGAGCCCTAAAACTGTCACAGCCAACTTTTCAAATAAACACTCAGGCCTTCGGTGGTGTAGCCCTTTGGCTCTGGAATCTTCATGTCTTGGCACTGCCAGCTCTCGTCTGGAAGACTGGACCACCACGCTACTCTCAGCAATACATTCTAAAGGTAAGCTATGTCTACAATGTGCTTGTGGAAAGTCAGAGCTGATTTTCATGATATCACTTTGAAGTTATCAATATTATTAATTTTTTTTGTCA